CCTGCTCGTCAACCCCCGGCCCGGCTCTCTTCTCGGGAGGGAACCTGGCGCTCATTCCCGGTGAGGCAACCAGGACAGAAGTCGTGGCAAGGTGGTTTGGCAAGTTCTTTGCGATGGAGAGGGTTGGCACAGAGGGGTACTGCCCGGAGACCACGCCGCCCGCACCGCTGCTGGACGTGAGCGCCTGCGTGTCATCCACGGAGCCCGCGGTGCTGGGGCCCTTGGGGGCGGCGGGGAGGGGCGTGCTCTCGGTGCATTTTGGTACAACGGCTATGCATGGGGCATCCGCGCCCTGGATGGTGGTGAGCACGCTTAGACTGCAGGCAGAAATGGTAGTGTTTGCACTATCCACAGACACAAGGACGGAGGGCTGATCGACGGGACTCACAAAGGGATGCTCTTTAATTGCTCCCGACACAGCCGCGCTGCAGACCGACACGGGGACCGCACTTGTACTGAACAGCATGGGTACATCGCTCTTTTCCGAGGAGGTAGAGGAAATCGTCTTCTCAGACACATGGGACGCGGGTACACGTTCCTCAGGACCATGCACGGCTACGTCCGTGGCCGCGTCTGGGGGTTTGGTGGGTGGGAGAGGCGGCTGGAGGGCAGGGGTGGCCTCCCGGAGGGGCGTGGGCTTGCTGCTGGGTGACCTGCAGTTGGGATTGGCAATGATGACACCGGTAGAACCTTCGAGTTTGGCCTCGGGGGCGGGAGGGACCTCTAAGCTGGGAGGGCCTTCCTTGCAGCCAAGCGGAGGCAGCCGGGCCTCCTTCGAGCTCTGGAAGAGGTGCGCTCGGGCTTGGTGCTTTGCGAAGAGCTTCGCCTTCGTCTGCTCCTTGATGTGCGCCAGGGTTCTGGCCTTGCCACCCTCTCCCGGGCCGCCCATGGCCCCGGAGACGATGCTCGCTGCAGCGGCTACCGCGGCGGCCGCTGCTGCCTCTCGCTGAGCCCTTGCCTGCTGGGCCCGAGCCTTGATATCCGCCAGGGTCCTGGCCCCCGTGTTCCTGCCTCCACCCACGGATGTGCTGGGGGAGGCTCGAGACTCTGGCTTGGAGACTGGCTGGCTCTTGATGATGAACGGCGGCCCGATCTTGGAAAGCTGGATCTACAAGGAGGGAGAGTGGAAAGATAAGGTTGGTCCATGGTCACAGAGGAGACGCATGGCACATAACAGGAGCTGCATTTTCTCATAATGTGGCATCGATGGGCCTTTAGGGTACCAAGGGACATGACATGCAGCATGGATGTGAGAATTAAACATTTTCATCTCTGTTTTTACGCTATGAAAACATCAACCTGGTGACTTCATTTGCAATGGAAATGAAGCATCTTCCTAATGCCTCATATAGATGGAAACCAAGTCCAGGCCTGTTAAAATGAGGTTAGCTAACAGACAGTGAGGTTAGCTAAGAGAGATATTTAGCTTTTAAATGATCTTCCTTGCTGGCATGAAAATCTGGGACCCTAACTCTACTTGAGTTTATCTGTCTTAATTACATGCACACACCTCTAGCCACGGGTCAGGAGACGAATTCTCATCCTGACTTTATTCAGAGGAACGTTGTGATGCTACGCAAATCACCGTGTCCTTCAGTGTCTCCAATACCCTCCCCGAGCCAGAGACCCTAGTTGTGTATCCTTGTTTTTATGCATCCTTGTATCGCCGCGCCTGCTGCTTTATACATAGGTAATAAGCACACACAAAAAGTCTGTGAACTCAGATGTAAAGTGAGACTAGTTACTTCCGGTCCAGTTCCTTCAGAGGACTGTTAGAAAGATGGAACTCTGGTTTTCTGCCTCTAAAAGGAAGCATGAGTCAGGCAGTTTCTTTTGATCCTGATAATCTACAGTTTGCTGAATTTTGTCAATGTCCCAACCCACACTGTTCACCTACTCATGCTAATGAAGAGACACAGTCATGGCCAATCAGGAGGCACAAGACCTAACAACCCATACACCATAGCAATGCCTGTGATTCTCTAGTCATGAAGAACATCCTTAGATCATAGACTGGTAGAGCTAGAAGGGACCTAGCTAAGGTCTCATTTTACTCTGGAAAAATCTGGAGGTAATGCAGATCGCCATGCCATTGGGCCATCTAGCACTGAGCCTCAGGGAGGGCCTTTGGGCTCCCCATTCAGAGCTGTTGACATGCCCTATGTGTCCTCTTCCCCCTCCTTCCCCCCCTCCCCCCCACAGAAAAAGCTTTCATAGAAAACATCTCTCTTCTTAACAACTGTATATTCACATTATAAACACCTGACACATACTAGTACTACAGGATCATGTCACTTTGGAATTAGGCTGTGGAAGGCTGGCAGATGGAATTGCCTTCCTGAGCTACCTCATTTCTCATTTTCAAACCTGTGATGTCTCTCTTCTGATTCAAATGCTCCAAAGTGAGGGTCAATTCAGAGAGGGGATTCAGTGTTTCCTTTTCAAGATTTCCCTTGGTTTAAGAAACTTAGAACATTAAAAAAATTAAGCCTAATTAAGTCTTAAGACCTCAAGACCAAACAAACACCAAGTACACTTGTAGTATCTACCTATTTATCTATCTTTACATAAAGTGTGTATCACTTTGAAAATAAGCTTTTGGCAAAAAAAAAAAAAGAATACGTTTAAGAAGATTTCTAATGAAAAGCATGCTAGTATTTTTCTTTCCATTGCTTCATAAATTAAAACACATAGCAGTGTTTTATATTCATCTTTTACATCTCCAGAATCTCATTTACTAGGGACTGCTTTATTAAACAATAACTACAGCCACACTCTTAAAAGCCAACCTGATGGAGATCATATAAAAAGGTGGCAGAGCACAGCAAATAAAAAGAGATTAAGAAAAGCAAAGCTTGAGTGTGTTTATGATTCTAGACCAATCCTATGTGGAATAATCCATCTTTTTGTGGAGCAATATAAATGGACTCAGATAAAAGCAGGGCATAAGTTTAAATTATAGTGGGTAGAATTTTTTTTTTTTATTAAACAGACTTTCTTTGAATTACACTTAATTTTCAGTTTATCAGGAAGAGCCAATTTATATAAAAGGTTTGTTTTCCAAGAGTTAAAATCTACTGGGATCAAAAGAAAATATTTACATAGAAATGTTTGTCCACAGGCTTTATGTTTTGTGTGAAGTTAAATACCTCGTTCACTAGCTCAGAAGGAGGAAAAAAAAAAGGATTTGGATGCCTATATATCCACAGCATTTCCCTTCAGGGTTCACAAAGCAATTTCATTGATTTGTTGAAGGAAATTTAATGAGGCTCTTCCAAAAGCCAGGTCCCTCTCTGCTAGGCAATGGTGGTGTTCAATGTTTGTTGGAAAATGAATGAAGGGATAACAAGTACCTGCATCTCTTTAGTGCCTGCCTCGAATTCCTGACTGCTTTCTCTAGTTCTTCTGAACTTTTAAAGGCCAAGGAATTAGCTTTCAAATTTTCCCAAGTTTATTTAGTGCAAAGCTCTGTCCTACACCCTGGAGTCCCCAAAAGACCCTGCATCTCAGTGGCCTGTGATCAAGTCCAGGCCCTGTTCTGCCTCCCCACTTCGTTTCCCTTACATGCTGAGGTCTAAGTACATACATGCATCTAAACTTCTATTAGCTCAATGCACAGTCTTAAAAAGGATCCCTTAATATTAGACTGGCGCCGGGAGTGTTCGACTATCAACTGCTACATAAAACCCAGAGGGAGCAAGATCTCATTTATTTCTGGAAAATTCAGTATCTAAGTCGGGAAAGCCTATGCATGGAAGTGCCTTTTCCCCCTTTTCTTCATTCTTATAAAACACCCTACCTTGAGAGGAGGGACTCTGGGTTCCTCTCGTGGAGGCTGCTGCTCCTTCTCAGCGGGGCTGCCAGATGATGCGTTCCGGGTGGATGGATCATCTTCGATCCTCGCTCTCTTCTCCTTGCAGATGCCAAAGCTGTGCTGCTCTGCGGTCTTCCTCTTCGCTATCTCCGATTCTCTGCTTTCGTTCCTTCCGCCGTCAGGTGACTTGGAGGGCTCTGACAGCTTGGAAGGATACGGGGTCTCCAACCGGTTCTGCGAGCTTCCTTGCTTATGTGTTTTACTTCTGGAGGCTTCTGGAAATGAAGCCTTCTCCCCCGGGGGGACATACTGCTGGTCCTGTGACTGAGCTGCTGGAAGCTCATTTCCTTTACTCTCTGTCTCCTCAGAAAAGACAGGCAGTTCCAATGGTGAGGACACCCCTTTCTTTTCTGTTCTCGGCAGCACATTAGGATTTTTCCCTTTGATGATTTCTGCAGAAGGAAGTTCTGGAATCGGAGCAGGATAGGGCTTCTCTGTGTCAACATGTGATTGACAAGGCTGCTGAGTCGGGGGCTGGCTGTGGAGTTCTTTGGACGGAAATGCTTCGGGAGCGATGGGAGAAGGGCCCAGGTGGATGGGCTCCGGAGTACTGGACAGAGTCTTCTGCTGAGAGAGAAGGCTCTCTCCCAGGGGCTTGGCAGTGGCGGGGCCTTCATCGTTCTGCGGAGAGAGTGGTTCTTCAGATATGGAAGGGGACTTTCTTTGTTGATGCACCGCTCTTTCATTCAGGGAAGAGTTGGAAACTGGAGATGTTTCTGGAGGAAGTGGCAAACTGGATGAGAAAGTGGTCTCCGCTGTGAGAAGCATGGAAGACACTGAAGACGTTTCTGATGCCAGCGGTAAGTCGGACATGGGCGATGCTTCCGACGTTAAAGGTAAATTGGACACGGGGGATGCTTCCGAGGTTAAAGGTAAATTGGACATGAGCGACCCTTCTGATATTTCAGGTGAAGTGGACACGGGCGATATTTCTGATATCAGAGATGCGTGAAGGTTTCCATCGGAGGGCTTCCTCTGGTTGTATTTGTCTGCATGTTCAGTGCTGGATACCTCCGAACAAAACGTCGTCTCCAGAGAGGCTGGAGTGCATGATTCTTCTGAAGTAGACTGGGTTTCCCCTCCGGGGGATGGCGTGCTGGTACAGGCCCCCTCTGGGCTCTCAGAGGAGAAGGAGGTCTCAGAGATGCAAGCGTTTTCAGAAAGCTGTTCCTCAGGATCGCTCTGTAGCTCCATATCCACAGCGATCCCTCCCTTCGGAAACTGGCCTTCTAAAGGAGATGACCCTGTTTTCATTTTTGGAGTATTGGTCTCTGTGTCAGTTTCTGGCTCCTTATGTTCTGTGTCGTTGAGGTGAGTCACAGAAGAAGTGGAAGGAATGAGAGAGTCACAGACTTCTAGCTGCTCAATAACCACGGACATTTCTTCCTGGGGAGATTCGGATTTCTCTTCCACCCTCAGTTCAACATGAGGCACAGTCTCTAAAACATCGTTCATTATAACACAAGATTCCAAGTTTTCTTCAGGAATTGCTATCTGGGGCTCTTCATGAGCACTGCCTGGAATTTCAGACTCCTCCAAAAATTCAGGTATTGCCTTAAGATTTTCATCCTGGCACTCACAGATACTTGTCTCTACCTCTTCCGCAATTTCCTCCTGAATCACAGATTCTTCAGGGATCAAGATATCCTCCGATTCCGACTCTGCCATTCCCTCTTTTCCTACATCTGCCATAGGGCAGAGCCCAGCACGGAACTCAGGCTCTGCAGAAGTTGGACTTTTCATGATTTTTGGCTGCTGTTCTTCCGAGGGAGACTGTGAAGAAAGACCTGGAAGACTCGAGCTCCCACATGAAGAACTACTTTCAGCTCCATCACTGTTTGGTCCAGCCGTGAGCTTTGTAGATTCCTCTCTTGACATGCCCAACCTGCACAGAAATTAGAAACATTGTTGTTCAACCACAAAATGCAAAAGGTACAGTTCGATCTCTCACAAATGTAGTATTTAATAAAAGCAAATGCATCAAATGAACTTTATAATCACTAAGTAACATGCTCAATTTATATAAATTAGTTCATAATGACTTGGTTTTTCTACTTTATAATCATAACTATTTCTGGTTAAGAAAGATATAGATTTTTATTCCGTAAGCAAAGAGATATGAACCTTACCAACTGTTTGTAAAAGGAATAAGAAAATTACAGACTACAAAAGATTAGGAAATATGGTCAGAAAAGCAAAAAATGTGTAAGTTCTAAGATTTTTTAAGTCATAAAGTAAAAGTAGAAATCTGTCACTATAGTAGAAAAATAACAGCCTTCAAAGGATGCACCATAACCAAATAATTAAGATCCATGGAAGATGGGTATGTTGTAAAATCTTGACACTGAAATGACTTCCAAAGATTAAGTTCTCTTAAACCAATTAAAGAGTTGTTGTTCAATCATCTTATTTTAGAATCTAAGCATCTAACCTAAGACAACATGGAAATTTCACTAAAGAATAACAAACATATTTGGGATCATCAGAGTGGATTCTGCTAGGTTACATTTGTGTGAGGCAAGACGAATTCTTTCGTGTAGATCTCTTACTGTAAAAATATTCCATAAAAAAAGATTAGAAATAATCCAGCCTAATGTTCAGATCATAAGGCAAAGTTAATCAGGATTACAATCAAAGATACTTCGAATCACTGTTTCCTGTCATATGGAGCTACCAGATCAGCATCAGGGGCAAGGGAACAGGATGATCTAAGTGCATTACATTAGAGCACTAGGGGCAATTACAGAGATAAGCGGGAGAGAGAACATCTCCAGAGCAAGAAACACGGCTGAAATACAGCTCTAATAATATCAATGCGGGAAAATACCTCTGAGAAATCTTCAACCTTTTACTTAAATTACATCCTCAAAATGAAAGGGAAAAAGCTGAATACACTTTGTGGGTGTTTGATCATTGACTTCTTTACTAAAACATTCTGAAAAGAAGAAAGAAGATGCTGCTTTCATAATTAGTCTCTTTTCTTTCAACTTTCCCTAAGATGGGTTCAAACCAAGCTATCATTTATAACTATACTATACTGAGAGGAACAGAATAGCTACATTACAGACAAATTTTTAAGCAGAATTATCAGCTAGAAATAAGGTCTTTGGGGGCTAGGTCAAGCAGGGATACCAGGCTAGATACGAAATTAAGTGTAGAACATACAGAATCTATCCACTAGCAGCCAAATTTCTGCTAGTTGGTTACTGACAATGTTATTAAATATATTTAATGTTAATATATACACACACACACACATACACACACACACACACACACACACACACACACACACACACACA